AAATTATTAAAGCTTAATATTTGCAGGATATATGTAAAATGATGAGCTGAACAAGTTTACTTAAGAGCCCAGGACAGATTGTCTTAGTAAAATAAATAGTTATAAGAGTTTTTAGAGGACGAATTTTTTGTTAATTTTTGTGCAATGGATTTGCAGAAAGAGTTTTTTTAACTAAATTTTTATTTAGATGACAATTTCAATATTTATACACTTTAAAATTCTCGATAAGTTTCTACTTCAAACAAATATTCTTTAAAAGTTTTATTAGCTGGAATCATTCAAAAAATCTCTAATTTTAAGAACAAAGAAGATTCTATTATTAAAGTTTTCATAATAGATTATTTTTGCAAAGACTATAATTTTGTAATTAACATTATATTTCAAATTTAGATTTCTATTTTAAAGACTTGTCAAGCTTTATTTATTCAAAAGAAATATTAGTTTTTGTTGTTAGTCAAATAGAGTTTATTGAAAATAATATATATATTTATGTCCAAGACATTAATCATGTAAATACTTATTTTAATAATAAAAAGTAAGAATATGATATCAAGAATGAGAAAATACCATTGTCAACAAATTTAATTCAATCTAAACTTTTATCTATTCATAAGAATATTTTTAAGATTTTTATATAATATTTTATTAAATTAATTTACTTATTAGTTCCATTTGAATTAAATAAATTTATTTATTAAAACATATCAAGAAAAAACCAAATAATCTTCTTGAAAATCAATTGACTGATGAAAAAGCAAACATCTTAAATATTAACAAAAGTTCGGAAAATTTTAAAATTGACAATAAACTAATTGAAATTAAACAAAATAATAAAGTTATTGATAAAAAAATTAACAATAAAAAGTATATAAAAAAAAGGTAAACTTAACTATACAAAAGATAATAAACAATCTAAAATTCATAATATCAGAAAATCATCAGATTCTAATATAGTCATTATTAATAATGAAAATAAATAAGTTTGTTTGTTTTTATTTTTTTTTTTGTTAAGATAATCTTTTGGGCTTTTGACTTTTATTAATTACTTATTAGTAATATAATTCAATAAACTACTACAGAAGAGAATACAATTGGCTACATGTGTAACTTTTCTATATTACCTATTTAAGAAGTCTGCTCAAAGACTCTCTATCAATTGCTATATCTAACCTTTCTGTTTGCATGTTCTACTTTAAACCCTTTGAACCTGTAATCTGTATTAATTCACTAAATCATATCCAGATGACCAGATTATTATCTTAACTTTAGAACTAATTTATTCTTGAAATAAACTTATCAGAGCCTTCTGTCTTATTTTTATATTTGATCTAGATATCACTATAGCAGAACCAACACTTGTGGTCAGGACTTAATTATTAAACTGCTATGCTCTAGTAGAATTTACTTAGACCTTAGCATCTACTTCATAGCATAACTTTAGTATTTTAGTATACCTCTGCCTTTTTTTCTATTTTTTTTACTAAATTTCTAATTCAGATATTCTGTATAAAACTATGACTAGTTCATTAGTATATTAGGTCAATTCAATATTCTTTTTTTTCAGTTTATTCTAGCAACTTGGTTGGTGGTATCTTTAAAACTTCCAACTTGAAGGTTCTTGCCCATCCAACTACTATAACTAAGTACTAGACCTTAGTATCTGTTTCATTGGACTAACCTTTACAGAAGAGTTGTCAAAGATCCAGCTACCTCTCTACTTGGGTTTTTCCAAATAGACTTCTTGTTACCCAATTTCAACAGATTTACATGACCACAAGGACTTATCTAGTGTTTGCACTACCTGATTTGTAAGTTTGCATTTCTCTGTATAACTTTAATATTGTACAGATGCCCTATAACCTGCCAGTCATGTTAGTGTAACTGTTATTACAAGCATCCTAACTTAATTATTAGTAACAATTATTGTAATACAAATATTACATATCTGATTATTCAAATTTTTGCCATCAATAGGATTTGAACACCCAACCTACCACTTGGAGGTTAATAATCTGACCACTTCATTAGGTTGCCACACTCCTTAATAAATTTGTTTATAATTCTTCAAGTTAATTAGTTGCATTAATTTTTTTAAAAAATATTGTAAAAATATACTATTATATAAATATAATAAATAATTTTATATTGACACATATTGGCCTAGCCTATGTAAAATAATCCACAAAAATTTTTATATAAACTATTATTATTGAATAATTATTTTATTTGCTTTATTATTGTAAAAAATACATTATATAAAAAAAACATGTAAAAAAAATATGATTTGCTATTAAATTAAGAAAAGATAAAAACAAATAATTATTTACCTAAATGATTTGTTACTATAAAAATGATTTATTTTATAATTTAAGAATAAATAACCTAGTTATTTTTGTATAATAATCATTTTAAATTGGAGTTAAAATAAGGCTAGTTTGATCTCTGTATATTACTAGATTAACTTTTTTTAAATGTTCTAATTATAACTAAATTTTATACATTACCTGTTTAAATAAATACTAATAGAATATTTATAATTTATAAAAAATTGTATTCTGCATAGAGCATGGGTCTTTCAGCTAGTATATTATCAAATCTTCATCATGGTCTTTAAGATTATTACCCTTTACATCATCACCTATAGTAACATCACCTCTTAATTGATATTGTTATCTGGCTAAGTCACATGCCACATGATACAGCTAACCAAATAAGGATGACCTGGCTAGAAAAATCAGAATCACCAAAAAGGACCAAAATGTAGGAAAAGTCCTTTTCAATGAAAAGGATGAAGTAAGTAATATAGTCAATAATAGAGAGAACACTAATGTAGTCATAATAATTATAGTTCTAAATAACATTACTATAGACCAAGAAAATGTATATAGTAAAATATTCTTATAAATCAAGGCTGTAAAGGCCCTAAGGAGATAGGGAGATACTTTGCTTTATTAAAATAATAATTAATCCCTTACATATTAATAAATATATAAATATCTTCCTTAATACATTAGCTAATCGCTAAAACCCAAACTATAAAAATCCACTTCTTGAAATTGTTAGTTCTATCCTGTAGGATTGTTACACCCCTGTTTGGCTGTTGCATCCTAAAGTACTAGGATCAGCCATAGTCATTTGAGTTCAACTATCTGAAGAAGTGTGATAGTTAAAGTTGTACATGTTGTTCAATTATCTGAAGTAGTGAGGTAATTAAGAACAGAGTTAGTAAAAGTTCAAGAGAAGAAAAATGCAAAACAAGTAAAGAAAAAATACTTACCTATAGACCCAAACCACTGATCAAACCTAAATGCCTCTTTTTGGCTAAGCCAACTGTAGATAACATGAAGTTTAGATTGTGGAGTGACTGAGTCACCATAATGCCCGATTTTAATATAAAGCATCCATCTCACTAAATCATATTCAATAAATCGACTTTCAATCAATATAAAAGATCTATATTGTCTATTGACATTGCTCTTATTTCTTCTATACTATTGGACTTAAATTGGTCTTTTATCTATACTAGTTAACTTGCTCTCCCATTCAATAGTTATACTATAACTATCATACTAACTATATACTAAAGTATGAAATATCAAATTAACTATGCTCTATAGAAAAACTTTCATATGATTGACTGTTTAAATAAATTTAATTTTATATTATTTATACATTTTAAATAAAACTACAGAGAATAAACAAAAAAGAATATATAAAATTTTATTAGGGTTGTAGGGCTCTACTATTAAAAAACTTAAAATCCCTTTTTGTTTTAGAAAAGTTAGCATAGTAATAATCTAATTCTATCTATTTTTAAAAAGTCCCTATTATGCTAAGTTTTCTAAAACCAAAAATGATTTTAATTATTTTTAATTGTTGAGTTCTACAACTAGGGATGGTAAAGTCAGTTCAGGTTCAGTCTTGGTTCTAAGACCTTTAGGTCTTGTTACAAGGACTCTTGAACTAAGTCCTCACATAATAAGTCCTAGAACCTAAGTTAGTTTAGGTTTAGTTCAGAACTTGGTCTAATAACTAATTCAAAAATTAGTTCTAGGACCTAGGTCAGACTAGGTTTGGTTTAGAACTTGGTTCAAGAACCAGTCCCAGAACCTAGGTCAGGCTAGGTTCAGTTCAGAACTTGGTTTAAAACCAGTCCTGTAATAGAAATCAGAAATGCTGATTTGCTGTGACCAAGATCAAATTTGCATATGGCTAAGAAAAATTCTATGCTGTTTTTATATAGTATGTATAAAAATATTTCTGTGATTTAATGTACATATTTTTTGCTATTAGCTGTTTTTAAAAAAAACCTTTGTGGTTGTAATAAAATTATCACTAGGGCTAGAGATCCAAAGCCATCCAATCATATGATAATATACAAGTAATATAGTGGATTAACTAATTTCATGGTATATTAACTTGAACTTTATTACTGAGTTAAAGTCAAATAACATCTTTAATACAATAACCACTTTTAAAATAATAAAGAAACCAAATTCCCATCAAAGATAACAAATAATTGAAAATAAATAAAACTATTTAATTTCATAAAAAAAAAAAAGAAACTTTAATTTCATAAAAAAAAAAAAAAAAAAATATATATATATAATATCTAATCTGCATTAATTTTTAATACCACAATATTCTAAAGTTACTTTTCACTTCTTTTTAATTGGAGTTAACCTATTTAATCATGAATTATAATTAGAAATCAAGAAAATATTTTTATTTTTTATGATTACTAACCATTGATAGAATCTCATTTTCAATTCAGCTTTTAGAACACAAAAATGGCCTTGATATTTCTGGATCAAGACAATTTCAGGTCTTTGATATAGTATTTTCTGCTACTAAAAAAACCTGTTCATAGGCTACACTGGCTGTCTGAATTAACAAATAATCTCTTGCTATACATGCTAATGTTAGAAATTCTTTTGCATATACTTGTCACTATAATAAAGGTGTAATATTTTTAGCACAAGATAAAGCCAAGTATCATTCTAGCTTATTGGCTGGCTTTTGCCTTGTTTCAGAAATTTGTTCTGTGTAATATTGTTTAAGTGCATAAAAGTATTGATGAGCTGTATCAACATTATTTATAACATGAGGTGGCAGGTGAGTTAATTCGTTAGATATAAAATATTGACCAAATATTTCTCTAATTTTACTAATTGCATTAGAGGTTTGTTGTTTGACTTCAAATAGTGAAAGCTTCATTTGCAGGTCAAGAATAGTTGTAACAGTTGTTGCATTATCGATTATATTCTTATATTCACTAATTTTTTCATTAATTGAGACAGCTAATATATATTAACTAGATTCATCACTTTCTATATAATTATTAAGATATTTTTGAATACTGCCAAATACCAATCAAACATCTGCAATTGTTGGATATAAAGATGCAGATAATAATTTTGTAACCTTTTCTAATAATTCTATTAAAATAAGTATCTTCTAATTTCAAATATTCAAATTAATGTTAGAATGTAATATAATATTTACTATCTAGGGGTCTCAGATTATTTTAAAATTTTTATGTTATGAAAATTAAAAAATTAACTTTATATAATCTAAATTAATTTTAACACATTTTACCTTTATTCTCATCTATTTTTCTGCTATAGGTGTTAAATTTTGAATTTTATGATTGTTAACAGCTAACATTTACAAAGCAGTTTTCATTCGATCCAATTTTTTTAGCATATAATATATGCTGTTCTATCTTATTTTAATGTCTAATTCTGGCTTCAAGTAGTCTAACTTCTGCACAGCACATAGATCTTTTAATTCGTCATATAGTTTTGTTAATACTTTAATTTTTAACATTAATGCATGCATATTAGTAATTTCTTTTTCAATAATCTCTAACTCATGACATGCAGCTAGATTTAATACATGTGCAGTATATCTATAATGATGAAAGTTTTGATCATTCAATTCTGTTAGTAAGCTATTTGCCAAGACCCACTCACAAACTAGCATGGCTGATTTGTTATTAGTGGTAAGGGTCAATTTTTTATCCAGAAGATTAAATTCTACAAAGACTCTATTAATTTCATTTGCTATATTTACTCCTGTGTAATGCATATTAAAAGAAACAATATCTAACAAAAATTGATGAAACTTTTATTAATGATCTATATAGTAAATGGTAATTCCAAGGAAAGCTTCATGATTAATAGTTGATATTCACATGTCTGTTATTAAAGAAATTTTGCTAGTGATTCTATATAAAATATTAATTATAGTTACTTTCTGTTCTTTGAAATAACTAATGACTATATCTTTAACTTGATGATGATCTGGAACTTTGTAATATATATTAAACATGTTGATCATTTCAATAATTTTTTTATTTCTAATAATATTGAATGATTGTTGGTCTACAATTATCCAGATTATTAAAGAAGTATTATAGTCTTTTTTTTTGCTTCTCAGGTCACAGATCAGCATGAGTAAATGATAACTTTAATTGATAAGATTTAATTTTTGGAATTTTAATATTATGTTGACTATTTAAATGTTTTTCTAAACTCGAGTTTCCAGTTTTATCTGAAAATTTGGCTTTACATTTCTTGCATATTGGGTTATTAGGTTCTTCATCTTTAAATTCAAAATAAGACCATAAGAGTGATGGTTTTCTTTTATTGTTAGTCAAGATTGATGAAATTGATGTTGAATTAGTCTCTAATTCTGAAGAGGGCAATGCATCATATATTTCATTTTCATTATTATAATAAGCAATGTTTTCAGAATCTATAACAATAGATATATTAGGATCAGTAATAATAGATGAGTTAGGATCCATAACAGTAAATAGACTATAAATGATCATAAAGAGCAAACTGTTTATAGTTTTTGATAAGAGACTTAAATATATATATATATATATATATATATATATATATATTTTGATTTTATTAGATTAATACTATCTTATTTAAAATTTACAGGTTTTATACAAGACTTAAATCTTTAGAACTTAGTTTGAGATTTTTTTAATGTATAATGCAAATAGTATCGCAACTTTGGGTGATTTTTATAATGCAAAAGCATGTTTATTGTTATCTTAGATCTTCAGAATTTTAATGAGATTTTTTTATGCATAATTTAAATAACACCATAACTTTTGGGAATTTTCATAATGTAAAGACATGTTTATCTTGAATCTTTAGAATCTTGTTGGAATCTTTAATACATAATACAATAGTATTACAACTTTTGGAAATTTCACAATGCAAAGAGATGTTTATCTTACAAAATTTCCTATTTTACCATGACTATAACTAATAATTTTTTTTATTCTTGCCCAATTTTCAAATTAGGATATTATCATCTTGGCTCAGCTTGTATATTTAACTATTATAAAACCTGATTGATGAATAGAGCTGAACAAACTGATAACATCCCTATTTCAAGTGCATTACATTGTTCTTTTTTGTTGTAATACTTTGTTCCTTTTACCTATAGAATGCATTAGGATATTTACAACACCAAATGTAACAATAGATTATTGAATTTCTATGATGCAATAGATTGGGCAGCAAAATTTGCGCAATTAGCACAAATTAAATAAAAGCAAATCGGGCTCCAACCAGCATCACGTAATCCCTGATATGAATCTGATTTGAAACAGGTATTTGGCAGATAAGTTATAGGTGATTTTTAAGATACAAATTGGGTGTTCAATGCATATCGAAATTGTTGAAAACTTGACATTCTGATATGTATTGAACGCCTATATGAGCCTGATTTGTATCTTAAATTCTCCTATATCTGGAATTACATGATGTTTGCTTTTATTCGACCTGTGTAGTTTATCATAGTTTATAAAATTTGTGTTTTATACACTCTTTTGAACTATAATGTTGATTATTTTTTATTTTTAATGAACTCTTTTTTGTTACCCGAATTTGGTAATTCCTAATCTCAGGTCTCATATTCGATAGCGATGAGATCATTTCTTGTTATCTAAATTTAGCACTTCTAATTCTACAGCAGATCTCACATTCTATTATGTATTCTCTATGATTATGTAACGATATCACGATTTTTTGTTAAAATTTTTGTCATGTTTGATCTTGTTTTTATATCAGGATGTGAGTGTCGTCAAGTTGAAGTTTGTAAATGTAAAACCTGTGCATGTGAATAATTTTCGTGAACTTAAGTACTATACGGTCAGTTAATCTTACGTGGTTGATAATTTTGACAAGTTAAATAATAAAATAAAATTTAAATTTATTAATATTTTCTTTACTTCTATACAAATAGCAGATAAAGGAATAGCATTGCGGCAAATTTATGAAATATGTAAATATTGATTAAACTGAGATAATCAATATTCTTAAGTTAGAATACATCATTTTAATAAATCTCTTATCGAAGTAGAAAGATAAAGTTAGATACATTATCTATCTAAATCTAAAAAGTTCAAAAAAATTTTGGGGGGTTTAACATTAATTGATTACGGACAAGTTTGTTTCTTGTTGGTAATATTATATAAGTATTTTCCTGAAATGATTAGAGCACCTATTATATCTTCGAAGATAGGTTCTTAAAGTCCTTAAGTCCCGGACTTAAGAACCTGGTCTTTAAGTTCGGGACTTAAGGACTTAAAAACTAGGTTTTAAGTTCCGGACTTTAATTAGGACCCATAGCAGACCTATGGACCTAGGTCTAAAAATTAGAACCTAGTTTTTAAAAACTAGGTCCCAAGACCAGGTCCTAGAGTCCTGGACCCAAGGACTTTACCATCCCTACCTACAACCCTAATATCCATTTTTATATGCTTCTTTTTTGTTTATTCTTCGTAGTTTGATTTTTTTAAAAACGTACTTTAACCCCTTTATAATATTTTTTGTCGGTATAACTATGATCATTTCCATTTGTATATGTATTTGTACATGTGTATATAATTGTATTGGCCTTTTTCCTTGCCCGTGACCCGCCACATTTCCTTTTTGACTAAAATAGATTAGATTT